GTGATTGTGGAGATACAAAGACATCTAAGAAAGAGGAAGATTGTACTAAAATATCCATATCTTATATCTATGTTAAAAAATAATCTTCAATTTTTTATCAATGTATTTTTTAAAAAGAAATAATATTTCTTGCAATTTGAATTTTCAAAACTTAGTGCATAAATCTCAAACATGAAAAAAGTATTTGATAAAACTTATATATATATATATATATAGATAATTTATTTTTAAAATTTTACAATACTATAAATAATTTAATAGATAACATGACATTGACATTATTATCAAAAAAATCATTTCAAATTCACGATTTAATTAGTATATAAAATAATTAATTAATATAATATAAATAATTTAATTGATAATATTATTACTATCATTATGATATATATATATATATATATATATATATACATATACATATACATATATTTATTTATATATTTAAATAAAAATATTTAAAATTTAAAATTTAATGATAAATTTAAAATTGATTTTAAAAAAAAAAACTGTTTTTTAATTTATTTTAAAAAAATAAGGAGCTTTTATGTTAAAAAAAATTAGTTTTATTTAAAGACTATCAAAAAAATTATATAAAAACTATCTTTTAATCATAAAAATAATTAATTTTAATATAAAAAGTATTTTTAGTTATAAATAATATAGAAATAGAAGTTTTAAACAATGAATAAGATTTGTTTTAGTTCTGTGAAGATCACTATTTGGCAAAAAGTTATTTGTCAAAATATTAATTAATTTTTTTAAATAGATTTATATCATATAATTTTTATAATGAAACAATATGATTATGTATATAATAAAATTTACTATAATTATTTTATAATGACTATTTAGTTTGTTAAAATATCTTTTGTAATCTTCTTGTAGAATATCTTTTTGAAATAGACACTTATTTATTAGAAACCTCAACAAGTCTATCACTATATAGTTTAATAGAGATAATCATTATACATTTATATTTTTATTATATACATTATGCATATACTAGCCAAATTCAAAAATTTATAATTATATTTCAAAAAAAAAATTGACAAGTTCTTGTTCAATTAGTATCACAAACATAACCAATACTAGAAATTACTTAGATAAGAAGCGTTAGATGGAAGTAAATTGGAATAGATAAATTGAATAATATCATGTAGAGAAGCTTCATAGACTCAAATTGGGCTTTGTATGTGTTTGTAGGTGTTTTTTTGGTTAAAATTTGACCAACAAATTTGCCATGTATTGTACATATTGGCCGCACATAATAAAAGTTGGCCATATTATGCATATATGAAATTCGCCTTGTAAGTGGGACATGTATTGGAGGTCTTTTAAAATAAAACCACGTAGCTCCTACTTAGATAGTATATATAGAGGCAAGAATGAGGTCATTCTCATTCTTATCAATCCATGTCTTTTTTTTAGTCTTGTTTCAAGAATCTCTAGTTTTCTAGTGTTTGGCAAAAGCCATTTTAGTTTAATTTTTAATATATATTTATTTTATTTTATTTTTTGACATCTTTCTTTAAGAATGATTTCACTTGTTATTTATATTTTTTGAGCTCTTATCTTTAATAATTAGTCAATGAAAAAAATAGGTTTTATACTTATCCTATGTTCTTAATAAAAAAAATTAAAATGTCTACTTTGGAAGTCATCATTTAAAACATTATTACATAAAATATCTTACTTCTTTATTAGTAGACTAGGATAAACAAATTTTAGGCATATATCTTCGTAGATAGAATCTATCTATCTAATAAAGAAAGCATAGGTTGCAAGTACTTCTTAGTAATATTTGTTTTTCAATTGAGTTTTGAACCTTCCTTCTATAGTTAATACTTTGTGCTAAATTAACATTGTTCAGTTTTTTTTTTTTTTTTTTTTTTTTTTTTAGTTATTCTTACTTATAAAAATTTATCAAAAATATTGTTTGTCTATCTACAAAAATCACTAATTGGTTGAGGTTGTTATCACCATTCAAATTCACAGATTTAAATTGTATAATATCAATTCTACTTCATCTTTAAATGTATTCTATCCTTGTTCTCAATCTCCATTCCATGTCCCTATTTTCTTTATCTTTGTTTTTGATGTCCCTCATCTCTCACCTCTATCCTTGTTTTCAATGTCCCTTGCCTAGAAGGCATTTGAGCTTGCTTGAATATATTAGGATAAAAATTATAACCAATATGATAAAAATATATTCTATATTCTATATTTATATTTATTATTTAAGATTCATTATTATTTGAATTTATTAGGATATAATGATACCCATGCTAGAAATAAGAATTATTGAATATTATAGTGAGTTTTTAAAGTTTTGTAATTATTTTTAGAACAACACTTTAAATTTCCTTCTACATGAACAACAAGGCCCGCCATCCTTTTCCTTTGGCATGACAAAATTGCTACTCATTGGCCTCATTAAGTATAGATTTTTATCTTCTGTTGCTCTCTTCAATTTCTCCAACACCTTTGCTACTACTTTGAATTGTAGCACATGTGCTATGGCTGGTAGTAGTAGGCTTTGTTCACAATCAAACTTGTTTAAATGTTGACATTACCCATAACTGTAAGACAATGAAATCTTTACATTTGCTTTTTATCTAATGCAAAGCAAGGGCCCTACTGCTAGTAATTTTTTAATTCTTTAAGTTGTAAAGTATTTTACTGAATTCTTGTTATTTTTTCATATTTTGATTTCATTGTGTTTATATTTTACTCTCCCAACATTTTGATATTTAATGTATTCTAAGCTATCATAATAGGGCTTACATAATGATGATATATGATAATTATACATGATCAATCAATAATATAACTTTACAAATCTAAAACAAAATGACTTCAGTTGGTTTTAAAAATTCGTTGCCTAACAAGTAAAAAAAATTCAAATCTTAATTAATCCTTCTTCTTGGAGCATGACTGTTATGACATTAAATCATGGATAATTTTAATTCCATTTCATTCAAGAAAATATCACATTTAAAAATCACAAGTTGAATAAACTTGATCAAAATAATATTGTATCTTTCCACTGTGATGTTTTAATACATATATATGCTGTATTTTTTTGGTTGTTTCTGAGTTTGTTTAACAAACATGTTTGATTTGTTGTGGTTGTTTAATAAAATTGTTAATTTAAAAAAAATAAAAAATAAAAAGGGGGGGGGGGAGTTGAAAATCAGTTTTGGTACAGAAGATTACTTGATAAAATCTATGAGAGAAGATTAATATCCAAGAAGAGAAAAATTAGAAACTTAGAATGATCATATGAATAAATTCTATTCACTGTGCAGAATCCAAGAACATCAAAATCTATTATTCAATGACTATCAGCAGCTGCCGGGCTTATTGAAATTTGAGGCTGATAAGTGCAATATATTTGATTTATCAATCAAAACTTTAAATTCAATGCAATAGGTTAATGGTGGGCCCAATTTAATAAGTTGAAGAGGGTTTAAGAATACATGATATTTTGTTTTGATCTTTGTGCCTTAACATCATGCAATAATGGCTAAAAAAAAATAAAATAAAACAAAACAAAAATTTGGTTACACATGTTTTTTTGTGCTTACTAGCAAAACCATTATTGGCATTTATGTGTTTTACTATTTAAGTATGCCAATAAAAGCAACAGTTGTTTGAGGGATATTTATTCTTTACATGCATGGAAATTAATTTGGCACTTAGAAATTAAATTTGACAACTTGCAAAGGATTCTTATGTTTTAGGTAAAATAAAAATAAAATAAAAATATTTTTTGAAACAATTCGGTACTTTCCAAGCCCATTTTTTGGCATAATTAGATTCATTTTTTGAAGATTCCTATTATAAATTGTTATATATATAAATATATTTCTATGAAAAGATATATTTATATTATAAACTTAACTAACTTTTCTACCCTTAACAAAACATCCAAGCATTTAATTAACAAAGCATTTACTTACCTTCAAGATTATTCACATAAATTAAATATAGATTAATTTTTTACTATCTTAGTAATTTCTATGCTAAACTAAGATTTCTAATTAATTTTCTAAAATAAATTGACCTTTATCCAACTAACTTTTACTAGTAGGATTTTTTATTAAACCAATAAGATTTGAATACATGCTCCTCCTCCTCAAACAATACCCATATTTTACCAAAAGATTCATTGTTTTAGAAGATCTTTTTTTCTTTTTTCTTTTTTCTTTTTATCTTTTCAGAATGTTTGATTTGAACTTCCTTATTTTTCCATACAAATATCCCAATTTTACACAAAAATGAGATGATTCTTTCTTGGATTACAACGAATGTAGAAACACAGATTAAGTAAAAACTATATTTTTAATAATTGTGACTATAACTAATTAGTTTTAATTCTTTGATCCTATCTAAGATTCCAAGTCTATAGCTAAACTTGTCTCCACTCTTCTAAAGTAAACCTTTAATTGTTGACAATATATTCGCTATTCTTACACATCCTTATGCTCTAATTTAGAACCAATTCCTTTTCATTACAACTTTTTTTTTCTTTAACTTCACTTACTTTATTTCAACTTTGAATATAATTCCTAATTATTTAGAATCTTAAATAAACTTTTATCCTAGGAGATGACATTCAACTTATCCAAATATCATCTTTTTGTATACAAATAGATTATGTTTTTAATTTGTTTCTTTCAATTAAACTATATCAAATAATTTAATATTACCAAATAATTTAATATTCTTTTAATATAAACAAATAAAAAGTATTGATCTATTTAGTTGGACAATGCTAATTACAATCAATAGCCACCAAAATCATGATTCTAATAATTCTCAAAATCATAATTTAGATAACGTACAAAGATGGAACGTAGTAGCAAGTTTGTTCACAGAATATTAGAAAACTCAAGCACAATCCAAGAATAAAAGGGAAAGTGCAGCAACATACTCTTATGGCAACATATTGTTGGAAGGTTTCATCTGCCCAATCCTCACGAGACTAGTGAATCTCCTAGAAGTATCGGCTCTGGCACTTAAACGAATCCAAGTAGGTCCTTACCTCTGCTCAGATATCTAATATTATTGCACAAGTATTTGTACACCATTCGCGTCAATGGCACGAGTTTATCGTGGCAGACGGCAGTTTTGAAATTTCCATCAAAATCTTTTGGAACTACTTATCAAACCAAAACCAGAATCCAAGGATATAGACTCGCCAACGCTATATCCTCTATACTAAATCCACATACCAGATGGCACATTCCTTTAACATACAAGCTCAAGTTTGTTCAACTAAAAATATCTATCGTCTATGAGACTAGTGACTTGAACCAACTGAATGGAAGATCTACAATCTGCCATTCTCACCAGAGTGAAATACTTGTGATTTCCGTTGGAAGGATGAAGTGTGTGATTCATCAGTTTGGCGACCTGAGTAATCCATGTGTGCGTGGCCAGAATCTTCACCATTGCATACTACACCTGTATTTGCATTATCTGTAAATACACATTTGATCCAATAAGTAATAAGATAATTACCAAAATTTCAATCAGGATATTGAACAATGCCATCCCAAATTTCCATACAATGAAGCCGCGATATAAACACAAAAAGACTCAATAACTGCCAATAATAAGACTCAAACATGGTAGCAAATCTAGCTAAAGTGCAACCTTGATGCGACCTTAAGAATGACGTTTGGAAGTTCCGTTTTAACGCATAAAAGAAAATCTATCCTTCAGTAAATATTCAAGATTACTCTCTTCAAAAGCCACCATTCACTATCATAGTGTAGACTGCACTTGTTTCTTACGGTTGTCAACCCTTCGGATTACTCCGTTGAAGAAGTGCAGAAAATTTAAATGCTGAAACTGATTAAAGCCATCAAGGACTGATAGCAGATTGCTTCGCAAGAATCAGACTAATTTATATTGTTTTACAAGTAGAATCACACCTATTTCTCCTAAATTGACAGGCAAACAGAAAGGTACATAAAACATACCAAAGAGAGACACAATAGATGGTCTCTTAGGTTGAGGTTTCTTCTTCAGCTCGGCTGCTCACAGAACACAGCATACAGCCCGTATTGTCAAGACCAAAAACATTTCAACCGAAGTAAAACCATTTCGCACCTCAACAATCTAATCAAGAAATCTGACAGAACTAACGTGATTCAGCACGTCACAACAAGACTAAATAAAAGAGACTAATAGTCTTACCGATTGGCGAGTTCATCATCCCTTTTAACACATCCGAGTTCTTGTACGTGTAACCCACAAAATTAGCATCTTTGGAAGTCAGCATCTGTTGGCACCCAAAACCAACATGACATTCCGTTAGACATGTAAGCCACAGCCAATCATATGAATCAATCAACGTAGGCTGCCACCTGTGTTAATACATCGTGCACTTTGGATCAAGTGACCAAAAAGAAATTCAAGACATCAATTTCATACCTTTCGCCAGGGGCCTGATCTGGTGGAAGGATGAGGCTGAGAACTGACCTGTGACCATCAAAAAATGTGTAAGAAAACGGTCAGGCGAGAGGATTACAACACATGGTGCACCACCAAAATAATCTTAGAAGTTTCAGTGGTATGATACCCAAAAATACCTCATCAAACTTCTCAAAGTTTTGGGTGTCGAGTTCTCCATTGACTTCGGGCTTGTATGCAGCCTCCATTTCATAGAGCTTGTCCCATTGAATACCGTTGAACCATGGGTGCCCCTGAATGATAGGGAAATGAAAAAGTGCACCAATCAAAACAATCATTCTGCAAAAGCAACTTCAATGAAAGACGTTGAAGACAATATAACACCGCTGACAAGATTGATCAGAGGGAGATCAAGTTTACTTGTAGAGTTAATCGACATAACTGAATTCTACAACGAGCAATTGTGTACTGTCTGTGGAAAATATAATTACCTTAATATCATCTCCGCCTCGGCTTCCTAAACGTTGGTCTACATCACAGAGCAATCTACAAATCAGATCTTTGGCCTCGAGAGTCAACTTAGCTTCATCTGGGAACTTAAGATACGTTCTCCAATTCACTATCTGCACAACATCAAGACATGAACACGTTGGTGCAGATAGCTTAGACAAAGCATTGAAAAAATTGTATCAACTTTTGAAATAGCAGTGACATGCGCTCTTCATCTACATGAAACTTGAGGCAAAACGTGTTAACAATCCCAGCGAGACAGTTTAAGGGAAAAAAACAAGGCTGAAAAACCTACCTTCCTACAGGTATTCATGGGGTCATCCGAATAGAAAGGTGGATAACCGACTAACATCTCAAACATGATGGCTCCAAGTGACCACCTGTAGAAACATTCCATCATTAAATCAAATCCAGTAATTTATTCAAATGTCCTTTCCATGTAAGACATTCTGTAACCACAGCTATAATCCGGTAGTCTACTATCCACCTTGCAAAACATTCGAGTTTCTATTCAAGAGAAAATTCATTGAATAATATAACAAGTGAAGGCAAAAATTCACCAGTCACACTCCATGCCATAGCCTTTTTTCAACAGCACTTCGGGCGCAATGTAGTCCGGAGTACCAACTGTGGAATATGCCTGCAATTAGTAATGAACACAGTTACTCAGTGTAATGGAAGCCTAACCAGTGTTAACACTCCACAACCACATTCTTGAGGACCATGCCTGAATGTGCTTGTAGATTCTCAAGCATATTAGTCAGAACATACTGCATGACCCAACAAACATAGTTCAATCTCATCCTGAACGTAGGACAGCCTCACCCAACTGAAGCTGTACAGATCGACAAAGAAGCCTTAAACTAATAACCGTCACCATCTCAGCTAACAGATGAGAGACAACTAGATACCAACATCAGAAACCATACCGATCTAAGACATACCAGAGAAAGTGAAAACCCATACCAGCATCCGCCGATTTCGTTGCCAATGCTGCAACTGCTCCTGCTGACTACGATGTGACTGCTCACGCGTGGATGGTTGAGAGCGACCACCCTCTATGTCCATAGGCATTGGCTCCCGATACTCCTCATCGGAACCAGGCTCATGTTCATGCAGTGTTGATAACGCACGACAATCTAAAGGTTTGCATAATCCAAAGTCTGACAGCTTCAAATGTCCATTTTTATCCAGCAACAAATTGTCGGGTTTTATGTCCCTGCCATTCCCAATTTGTTGCACACATACTCACGTCAAATATGCCCCACTGAAAAATAAGTCGGAAGACGACTGAAGTGGACAGTGATAATACCGAAATCATTTCAGCATAAAAGATTTTGCAACCACAATCCGATACAAAACACTACTTGGTTAGAGAAGAAGACTGACCGGTGAATATAGTTGTGCCTATGGATGGACTGAATAGCTAAAACGGATTGTGCAACGTAGAAGCGAGCTTCATCTTCTGTTAGGGTATCCTTGCGCATCAGCAAAGTCATCATGTCACCTCCAGGTAGATACTCCATGATCAGGTACAAGTATTCAGAGTCCTGAAAACTGTACAGTAACTTCACGATACAGTGACTGTCCACTTCTGCTAACAAATTTCTTTCCGCCCTCACATGTTCCACCTGAATTGAAGTTGATCAGTGTTCAACAAAATCAGAGGCAGTAGCACATAAATGAATGAGATCTCTATTAAAAATATGTTTTATTGCAAATGACTGGAAACAAACAATAAAATGAAATCTCGTAATACTATGCTTGATAATAGAAAAAATAAGAAAGAAATAAACTTAATATATGTCTGATCCCTTGAACCGACACGAACAGTTCATTACAAAGTTGCATCGGCTTCAGATCAGTCGGCAAGCTTATACACAACTTCACATCTAAAGCTATCACTTGCCTTGAAACTTGCAGAAGAGAATAACAAATCTCTGACTGTTTATTCGCAGCTCATTTATCCCAGATTCTAAGCACTTAATACACGGTATCCTCAAAACTAGATTTTAGAATGTGGAGTCAAACAAGCGGCTTATACCTGCCCTCTTGACAGCATCTCTGATTTCTTCAATTTCTTCATGGCATAAACTTCTCCAGTTGCTTTCGCTCTGCAGAGCCTCACCTGCGGCCCCACTCTTTACTGTCAATAAAGACCTCGTTGAATACAACTGAAAGCAGCCGTAGAATTGATGATTTCTCGAACAAGCATGACCTCAAAGAAGTATTTTTATTGAGAAAAAAAGGAGGAAGCCTGCACTATCGAAGATAATCGAAAGCAGATGACATTTGAGAACTTCTCAAAAAGTAAAGGAAAGAGGTCCAAAAGAAAAACACTCGAATGAATCGTTGCAGGACGATCATGTAAGGAAACGAAACACAATCTGGATTAGGGAATTCAATTACATTTCTTTCTGTTCGTGATAAGTACTGGATACAGAGTACGAGACAAGGTCCACTTAATTAAATTTTCACATTTCGGAAAATGAATGTTCCAGCTGAAACAATCCTCTCTTAGAAATATCATCATTCAACCAAAATAAATGTATTTTTTCGCTTCAAACAAACAGCACCTCTCCAAAGGCGCCTCGTCCAATAATTGTTAACAGCTCAAAATCCTCCACCCCCATTTTATGACGCTGTAACCGCATATACTCTGTCTCTTTACGCTCAAGATCCTTCAACAAGTTATGCTGATCCTCTGGGGACACATCTGCATCTTGTAACCTTCGCTCCAGGGTCCAGCGCCTGCCAAAAATAAAAGAAAAAGGAAGACTCAATGCTACTGTCTCGCATCCTTTCACGTATCGGATCCTTTTCAATCGTGTCATTGGAAGACCCACGCAAAAATATGATCAGCACGAGGAGATCTGAATCCTAGCACAAGTTCCGTACGACTCGATCGCAGCTTATTTACATCGAGTTGCGGTAGATATCCTCGTTTAAGCGAAATAGTAATGGAAAACATTCCAGCAGTGTCGAGTTGTTAAAAATAGGCGGACAATATCGGGCCGAAAGACGTACTGAATGGGCTTGACTGTAAAAAGCATTCTATTCGGAATAAAATAAATAAGATCACTGCCTACCTGAAAACTAAAAGAAGACCAATTAACAGTAATCTGTTCTCATTGGAAAAATGTTCGGTTCACTGTCCTTATATAGTCTTGGAATTAGCACATTTAGGGATGACGGTAACCTCATCGTTTTCTCTTCGTGCTATATCATGCACACCAGCAGTAGGTCAAGTGGGATAAAGGATAAAGAACACGCCATTGGTAAATACTCAAAGTCATAGAATTTTAGCTTCGACTGAGAGATCCGGCTATCAAACCATACTCGAATTTATATCGCACGAGGTATCGAATTTCAAAACATAAAATCGAAGTTTGGTATACCGAATAACTCGAATCCATCAACCGTTTGAAGACGTCCAGAAAAGAAACTAGGTGGCCTGTTTCCAATTGGTGTTACTGAGAAGATTAACATTCAGCGTAGCCTAAACTTCATTGGATGCGCAATCTTCAGCCGAATTCTGATTTTCTACAACGCCAGTCTGAGGTTCTACGAGCACTATGAATTAGGTCACAAAGACAGTTCACTAGAAGGTACGTGAACACCAGGAGACATCCCGCGACTGTCAAAGAATTGATTCCGGATTTGATACGTAGGATTTTAAATTTCCGTAACAAACCAAGAGGAGGAGGAGGAGGAGGAGGAGGAGGAGGAAAAAAAAAAAAAAAAAAAAAAAAAAAAAAAAAAAAAAAACACTGTCGCAATCTATCACTGTATTGAAACCTTTCGTACAAGGAAGGATTAAAAGAAGAAATATCCTTGATAAGAAGAAGCCTACGTTCTTGCAATTTACTGAATGATGATGGAAAGATGAAAGGTATTAAAAAGCAGGCGACTAGTAACCGACGAGGAAAACAATAACCACAGGAGTCATGAACTTCCTACTCGTAGATTGCAGATCGAAGATAAAAAACCGAGTCCAAGAGGGTAATAGGTGAAGAAAGTGCGAGGGGCAATTCATCGGCTACCTCTCTTTCCGTTCCTGCAAGCTTTTCATCTGCGCCTTGTAATGGTTTTCAATGTACTGTTTAGCCGCAGCAACCTTCTGACGCGTAATACTAGAGGCGAGATTATCGTCAAGCTGCAAACCATCCGCGTTCTCGCTCCCTCTCCCCTCATCTGATCCCACGTCCAAACCTCCCATCCCGTCTTGCGCCGTCGCCAAGACCGTGCTAAACACATCCGCTTGGTTCACCATCAAGCCTCCTGCTGCTCCACCTCCGCCTCTCAACCCCTGTCCTGCTCCCTTCCAGCCCCCGTCCTGCTCTTCCATCTGCCCCTGGCCTGCCCCCTCGATCTACTTCCCCCGCAACCGCAACCGCAACCTCAATCCCCTCTCATCTCATCTCACCATTCCCCGCAATCACCTCCTCCTCCGACCAAATAGCTTCAACATGAGCACCACGGCAGGTACCAGAACTGTTAACAACGACGAAGAACAGAGTGACAGTTAGTTCAAGGTCTGCTCACGCAAGGCAGCGAGATCAAGCATGGTCACAGCTGGAAAAAGACGGAGCACAGAACACTAAGCTGAGCATCACAAGGCGCCAAAGGCGGCAAGCTCATGGCGGCTAAATATAGTCTCCCCTTCCAGCCAGCTTCCGCTCTCTGTCCATCCTATCGAAGCTTGCTGGCTATGGCGATTGGGCCCGCCACCCCCCTCCTCCCCCCCCCGCAACACACTGCGCCGCGACGAATCCCACCACGACGGTCTCCAAAAACAAACGATCGGAATTCCCGACGATTCCCCGCTCTCTGCTCCTTTCTCGTCGCCTGGCAGTTGGAACCCCACGCCCATTCCATAATGGAATCCTCGTGGGAAGTAGTTATTAACAGACACTTGGGTCTGGCATAATACCCCAGTCGGTTGCCAATTTGATCTCTGGATGAGATCACGACTCTTCTATCCCCTTTCCCAACTCCTTTGCAAGTCAGTGGGAACGCCCATTCCCGTCACTCAAACTCCTCACCAATAACCCATTATTAGTCCATCTCAATTAAGCAATAGAATTAGTGTGGTTCGCCTCCATATGTGAAAATATCTTCGAGTTTCTATCTTTTTGCTTAGTTTGTGGCATTAGTTGGGACAGAATGACTTGGACACATCTCAAATCCATCCCTAGAGGGATTTTGCAAGGTGGGTAAGATCCTACATCCTTTGAAGTCAGTTGGATATTATTGTTGTGCGGGGTCTCATGTATATAAAGAGGGCAGACCGAGCCTAACCCCAGATGCTCTATGATCCTAGCCTATCGAACCGAATTTTGATGGAATGTTCCACTGTGGGTTTGGAACCCCACTGAGAGACTACACTAATTTTGTGCCATTGAGGTGGAATTTGTATTTTCCAGCTGGCAGGCAGGGTGTGGTGGGATCGATGCGGACTTTTATCATTCCAGCTTCATAATACATCAGAGCCAACCATAGATTGACTTGTTGTGCACCCACCCAATGACACCCTCACCCAGTGAGCTGTTTTGTTTCATTTTTTTAATTTTTTTCAATACTGGGACCAAGCTAACCCTGTGAAAACAAAGAGACTTCTCCCCCAAGTCTGTCAAGTTGGAGTATTGCAATTGAATTAATTGTGTTGCAATTGTTGGAGTCATCAAGCATTAGATTTGGGAGGACAACATGAGGCCTGTTCCAAGGTTGGCATGACCGTTCTGAGCTGGCCATGACAGTCCCTCACTCCCAACCCATGACCTGGCATTCACAATCACTCTCACTTGCTTCCTTCTCCAGTGCTTTTTACACCCCAAAAAAGCTTTAGGGCTGTGTGAGAATTTACAACCACCAATTAACACAGAAAAAAAACATTTCTTTCAGTGTGCATTGGTACATGTCCTTCACAGGGTGGGTCACAGTGTGAAAAAGAGACATTTGAAGGACAACAAGTGTGGTGCTCACAAAAGGTTCACTTATCCATGAAACAGAGTCATTAAAACGTAAGCTTGTTGGCATCATAATATTGCACTTTTGCATGTTTTTTTCTTTTAATGGAATCTGGTGAGTTGAGTATGTAACCAAGCGAGTGTAAGGAGATTTAGGGTTCAATGCATTTTGTTTGATTGATTTTTGCTCTATTTTTTCAACAAGTGGACAACACTACTAGGTTTGTGGGGAGGAGGCATCACAATTGTTTGAGCTTGACAAAGTCCCCACCAACTCTATACACCAAGTGGTCATCCTTGACAAGGTCGTGAGAAAGGCCAGCCCCTCCCTCTAGATCCCATTCTTTCTTCCTTTTTTTCTCTCTTGCTCTGTATGTTTGTGTCTTATCTATGCAATCTTTTTCCATTTACTAATGAGATGGGCTTGCAGTGTACATTGCACAGAACATGGGTCCTTATTTGTGTTGCTTTGTCATATTCTATGATAGTCATATGATGTTTCTGTCATTTTAACCTTAAATATGAAATAAGCTGAACAAAGGCATTTTTTCCAGGCAAGAACTAATTGTTAAATATTATGTTCATAGAAGTCAAAATAACAACAACAATAATAATAATAATAATAATAATAATAAAATAAACACACTCTACAAGGGTCCTCCCATTCATATGTCACATATATATATAGAGGGATGAATGAAGGATGGATGAGGTTGGGAGTGAATGGAATCAAATGATAGGGTGGGGTGCACCCAAGCACAGCTGGCCTGATGAAGAATAATAAGAAGAAGAAGCAAATGTAACTCTTCCAATACTACTTCTGGGACAACTGTGCCCAGTTGGTTGGAAACCCAAAGAAAAAATAAAGCAGGTAAGTGTGAACAGGGAACTGGGGAGAGGATGGACGAATGTTCTCCACCATCTACCTCTGAAAGGATGTAGTTGATCGACGAAGCCCAGTTACTAATTGGCAAATGATATCATAAACTTGACATGATTTTCAAGGTTTTATCAATTTAATCCTGATTACAGTAGAATTTTTTTTTAACAATTTAAAATACGGATTGCACTCTTTGCAATTGGGTTGTTGTGCTACACACAGATATATGCATGAATTCCAACAATTTTGTAATAATAACTGTGGATTGTTTAAAATATTGTAAAATGGAATAATCAAACAAGTACTTAAAGAATGTTTTCAACCAATGTTAAGTTGAACAAACACTCGTTGCATAATAGTTTTCAAATGATACAAGTAATTAGATTAGCATGAAGCATATATTTGTTCTTATACCTGGTCTAAACCCTAAACCCTAAACCTGGCCACTTTGTTTTAAACCTGATCACTTTGTTCTAAACCCTAAACCTGACACAAATAGTTCACATATTTTTGAAATATTTTTTTATTTTTATTTTATTTCAATCATGAATTTAATGAATTAATTTCTTGTGTTGTATGTATGAATGTATTTATTTCTTATTTATGCGTCATATACATCATAAAAAAATTATTATTATCATTATTCTTATCATAAAGAGACAAATTGTGAGCCATTGAGTGATCATATTTATTGTTTTCATGTATATATATATATATACTACACAAGGTTTACAATTTGTTTTGCTTTCAAATAGTGTTAATTTTATGTGAGTGTGTTACACATACTTTTATGCACTATGATCAACATTGCTATTATGTACAAGTAGATGCCTAATCTAACATAGGTTAATAAATCCCACAAGTCCATTTTAATATACATACATACATACAGAAATACAAACAAACAAACAAAAAAAGGAGTTTAAATTTAAATAAAAAAGTTATGATTATGTATTTCAATGGATGGTCTCAAAAGTAATTACCAAGATAATCATAAAACATTATTAAAAAATATATTATAATAGAAATTAACCATAAATTATTTTTCATATCTGTGTGTGTAACAAAATATGTTTATTTACATACAAACATACAAACATACATACATACATATTAATAAAAATTTGTCCATCTACCTATCTACATAACTTTCATTGTTTTGACCCCTAATTGATAAAGTCTTCATTTTCAATACAACCAATTAATTGTTTCCAATTTTCATTAAATTTTGTATATAAATAGTTTCAATATCCATGCAGTATTCTTTTTCCTTATGACAGTTCAGACAAGCCATATCAAGAAAGCTAATATCTAGTCCTTAACATAAATTAACATGCCAAACAAATTTCTATTACATTAGACCAAAAAGTACATTATAGCCCACAAGTTGTTGTAAAAAATTGATAGTGAATTGAGAGAATGCCCATACAGAAGTTCTTTCAATGGTTGTATTTGACTTTAAATGATATAATGCAAAGAACAAATATGTTGCAAATTGAGGATGCATACAACTTACAAACACTATCCATGCTTGCGCACCAAAAGATTGCAAAATGCACATTACAATCTAAGAACATTAAGTATTTTTTTGTGTACAAACCTCGTCTTCTTATATACATATTCATCAATACAATACAAAAATTTAACATCATAATTAAAAATATAAAAATTATGTATATATATATATATATATATATATATTACCAAAAGTATTCTTAAAATAATCCTAATATTTTTTTCTATCATATTTACTATTACAATATTAAAATTTTCTAGATGAAGAGATTATTTTCTAAAAACCAAGATTTGAATATATATATATATATATATATATATATATACATACATAAACTTGTTTAGCAAATATAAACTAGTCTTTTAAAACCTTAATTCATTAATTCATTAAGTAATTGTCTAGTGAATATCCAAAGCGGCACAAAATAATAGATATTATAAATAAAATACAATACAATCTTTAAAATTGAAATATTTTTTTAAATGATTTAATTAAATAATTTTAGTTTTACTTAGGCAACCCATTGTATTTTCTAGATTTGTTGTGTGTTGAATAAGGCCTTGTATTTGAAAGTGATTTAGATAGTAGACAATAATTTTATGGAGTCAATTGGAATGGAATCATTCTTATTAATAAGATGCAATAAGTAATATTGTATGGCTTTGGGTGATATAGAAAAATACTTCTTTAAAAGAAATTTCATCTTTTATGCAGTAATTACTTTAATATGGTGATATAAAAAATTATTACATATACAACCAATAATAGAAGCTATTTAAATAAGAAGATTTAGGTAGAAATAAACATAAGTACATAAATTAGATAAATAATTGATATAAGTATTTTTATGATATAAGTTGGCCATATAAAACATATATAAAATATTTTATATATAATATAAGTTGGCCATATAAAACACATATAAAATATTTTATATATAATATAATTTGGCCATATAAAATATATATAAAATATTTTATATATGATATAAGTTGGTCATGTAAAATATATATAAAATATTTTTATGATACAAGTTGCAATCTACGTATAAAAAAATATAATATAATTTATGTTGTATCTAATAAGATTTTTATTTTGTATCAAAGAAATTAATTAATAATATTATATGCTTTAAAATTTTAATAATTAGTGATTGATATCAAGTAGGATGATATTGCACTCATTAATTAAGTTTTTTTAGATTTTAATATGATGTAAAGAAATTGGTGTTGAAATTATAAGTTCCTCAAATATTGAGTCTAACAATTCATTTTACAATCAAATATGATAATTAGTTTTTTGAATTTTGATATAAAAGCCGTATAAGTAGGCATCAATGTTTGTATAATTTAATGGCAATATCAAT